CATAAGCAATAGATGAATATTTTCTACAGCCTTTGAGCAGCAACTTGGAGGGAGGAACCCCTATAGAGTTCCAAGGAGGCCGATCCCCTAAAGAGATCAACCCCAAGTTTAGAATCTGCAAGGGTTCTAACAGACAGAAATTGATTAAGCTACTCTAACTATTGGACTTACTAGAAATCATCTCGAATTTTAGATAAAAACATGAGAGGCCCTCCCCAAGATGGAGAACTCCTCATAAGCTCGTACTACTGATGATTAGTGGGGATCTTATCAGATGGTGTCAATCATGTTGGTTGAAGAGAGACATTGGCTGGACTCCATCAACGCTATATTTGAGGCAAAACCTTTCTTCGACATAAGAGATGCGCAAACACACATGAATGGTTGGAGTTTCAGCAGCGAGTTAGTTGTTTTCAACTTACGTTTGATTAGTTGTTCTTTACCTGAAGAACAAGAGAGAAGATAAATAGTGTTTGTGCTTATCGACATGAACAATTGCAGTTTGAGGCTTCACCAACTCCTTGGATGATTGCTCAATGATTTCATGATACATCAAGAATGATCTGACCTTTTCTATAAAATGTGTTCCAGCTGCTATGAAATGTTCATCATCTTTAGAGTCTTATCATGTGGAGCTCGAATGAATTAGTAGGCCCAATCAATGAGACGGAAACATATCAAAGCCCAACTTGATGAAGGACTAGATAGCCCGTCTCTTGACCATCAAATAATCATATTCTGCTCTAAAACTTTGTCCAATATATTAAAATATATCTATCTTTTTAGGTCTTCCATATTGGGGGAGATTAGTCATATTTGAAACCTAAGAGACAATTTCGATACTTTGAAATGAGAAAAAATGAAACCTTAAATAATTTTCTTTTCTCCAAGAAAACCATATGCATTATTTTGTCAAACGAGAACAAGACAAATGTCAATTTTTTAGTTCCCTTCTACTATCATATGTATAAAAGCTTTACTCCAATTTATCCTTTTTTTTTAACTGCCTTTTCCCATAGAATCCTCGAAGCCTTCCTTTATAGTTATTACTTATTACTTCGTTTTAGAAACACTTACTCTTTGTAAACTTACAATTAGCAAATCAACAAAATAATAATAATAATAAACTATTACGAACCATAAAAGACCAACACGTAGTTTGTGCTAACTCACCATATAATGACCCTCATTTGAAATATCCTATATTAATAGAAGTATGACATCGAAGGATGGATCTCTTATTCTCACAACACACCATAGCTATTGCATTATACTCGTAATCGGCAACTGAGAAAGCAATCAACAACGTAAAGCATTAGCATCCATGCATGCAATCTCACGTCTTCAGGCATCATCAGCCACGGCAAAGCAGGAGGCCTTCCTGTCCTGGATGACCGCCCCGCCAGCCGTGGCCACGTTCCGAGCGTAGCACTTGCTCCCGTCCCTGTACTGGTATGACGACCGGCTCCTTCCGCTCCCCCATCCGCCGCCCACCAAAGCCGATCCCTCCGCATCCTGCCGGTCGGTCAGCTCTCTCGTCGTCGTCGCCCCGGCCTGCCCTTCGCTCAGGCTCACCGCCTCCATCAGCTGGTGGAAGAGCCGCGTCTTCTGCAGCACCGGCACGCCCGCCGCGTTCACGATCGCGGTCTGCACCTGCAAGGGAGCATCCATCACCGTCTGCGCCCGGGCGAGCCACTGGTTTCCCCTCATAACAGTCACCATCGTCCTCTCCTTGAGGATGAAATCGATCTGGGTCACCGCCCCGCGGTTCTGCACCTGCACCTGGCTCTTCAGCTTGATCTTATGCCGCACCTCGGTGGTGAGGTTACCCCTCGACGAGCTCACCCACCCGGCGAACCGTTCGAGCCCCTCGGCCCCGATCTCGGACTGGCCGTCGGGGTTGCGCCACTCGGCGTTGCGGTTCATCTGGATGGCCGGGACAAAATACTCCACAGGACCGGCCTGCACCGCGTCCGACCAATAGTCGACCCAGAGGTGGAGGTTGGCGTTCACGAGCCAGTGTGGCAGGGCGCTGCACACACCCAGCCCGATCTCGTGGGGCCGCCCGTCGAGCATCAGCGCCAGGAACGGCGTCAGGTCGAGGTCGTAGGACGGCATGTCGAACGCGCCGATTGCCGCCACCGGGGACCAGAAGACGGGGTTGATGGCGCTCGAGTAGATGACCGGAAAGGGAACGTGCCCGCCTACGTACTTCCCGTCGATTGTGGCGTAGACCTGCCGAAACGCGCCGTTGGCTCGCGGTGCCGAAACCTTGGCTGCAGTTGGCTGGTGAAGATAGTTATTTCTCAATGGATTAGTGTACCATGATTCATCCTCGCCATGATATGACACAAAGATTTCAAGGACGGCGCGGTATGTGTTTCTGGGGATGGCGACGGTGGTGGACTCGACGCCGGTTTCGTTGTCAATACGGTACCAAAAGCCGGATCCATATTGTCCGTCGGGCTTGGAGATGGGGAGGACGAGGTCCGCGGGCTCGCGGTAAAGGGATCTAACGGAAGGGTGCT